AATATCGATTATAGATTTGTTGCTGAGATGCCAACTTGATACGATTTTCAGGGAAGGTTTAAATTTAGTTGGTATTGAATTATTATAATTATCTCTTAGTTTTTTAATTACTGGTTCAAACACGTCGTAATTTGTGTTTCCTATACGTAGGTGCCATCTTGTACCTTTATGGAGAGAATTATGTCATAAGTTTTAAAGTTTTGAAAAATAAAAAAACCCTCGAACTAGAAAACTGTGAGAGTTGGACAATCGTTTTTTTTAATACATCATTGTGAGGGCATTTATATATATTTGCATCACTGGTTTAGGTCAGTAAGAGCGGGTGTGTGACCACTTTGATCAGCCTGCGTAGGAACCGAGGGTGAGTGGTATCGATCCTAGTTCTGTTCTACCGTAAAAGTGCTCGACTTCGTCTCAAGTCGTCTGGCTACCAAAGCAGGGAGCCATCCCATCTGCAGAGGATCGAAATTGAGATGGCATGTCTTCGGATCATTCTCAGGGATGTTTCCCAGACCGTCGCCAATAGCCCATTGTGCAGTTCTAGTGCGAGGTAAATAAAGTACCTACCTATATACATTTGAGTTTTTTTAAAGTATTTGTATTGAATTATTGTCTTTGCTAAAAGTTCAGTACATTTCGAAATTTTCAGCATTAAAAAATTTATTGAATTTATTATTTGAACATCAATGACTTAAAACAAATTATTGTATTTTCTATAAAAATTTGATGACCCTATTACTGGTATAAAATTATGTCTTAAAAATGTGTATTGCATATAATTTCAGAAATAAAAGAATTGGATGATAAAATACTGAGTACTGCGGGGAGTTCACAATGACATACATGCCAACTTTTACGCATTTGGCATTAAATTTTATTTCTAAAAAAATTATGCATAAATATAAATATGTAAACCTGCTGCAGTAATCCGCACAAACTTTTTCGAAATTCAGCATATATGTCTGCCAAAAATTGTAATTTATATTCTATTTTATTACCACTTTGAAAAATAATCCTCCAAAGGATTAAAAGTTGGCAAGTATGCTATGACGATGCTAATGATGTACAAACACTCGAGGCAAGACGTGGCTTAAATTTCTATTATGAATATATTGTTTAGTGCTTCGTATGCAACATCAATTTAATACCAATGCATTAAAAAGCAAATTAATATATGTTTTAAAAGCCCATGATATTTTATTGTTAATGATTTATTTACATAATAAAAAAAATTTATTTTCTTTGAATGTCGGATGCGTCATATATTATTTGCACAAACTATTAAATTCTATCTGCAAAACCTCATAAAATATGTCAAATGAAGTTTTATGTTTATTTAAATAATATTTTTAATTTTTACTACCTATTACTACAAATATGATTATAAAGTAAAATTTAAAAATTATCTCAAAGTAAGAAATCCTTAAATTTCAAAATAAGAAATCGTTAAAAGAATTTTGTATTAACTCTTTGCAAACCCCGACGTCGCCTCTGAGGCGCCATCTACAGTCATCACTCTAAAATAAAATATATGATAGCCTAATAAATAGTAACCACATTATTTTAAGAATTTCAAAAATTATATAAAAAATAAGGTTATAGGTATTTAAATGATTTAGTGCTTTCAATGATTTAGTGCTTACTTTAGTGAGTGCAAAGGGTTAAGTTATCAAATTTTAAGCCCATTATTGTTTTCTGAACACAAACTCAATTTTTCCTGATAGAAACTAAATAGTTTAGTACCTAGTTTTGAAATTGAAATCTAAACAAGATAATTGTTTTTCATACATGTTAGTGATGAGGGATAATCAAGATTGAGATTCAAGAACTAAAATACAGTTCCGAAAAAAAAAGACTGGGAAAAAAGGTTTATCAAAGCTTGCTATAATCTGGAAGGCTGAATTATACTCGTTATTTTAAAGTCCATAAACGTAGGCAGATATTATTCTTTTGGGAATTAAGTCAGGAAGGTGCGCCTTTCGTTTGACAAGAGAGCACCGCAAGGGTGAGCATACGTCTAGGCTCAGAATCCTACGGAAGGATGATAGCACTACTCATTCGAGAAGCTATTTTCTCAATCTATACATGTAACTGAAGGGAAGGAATTTATTTTCCTGAGCTCTGCACGGTACAGCTTAGCGACCTCCCACAGTACTTTCGATTACACAGATTTTACGAGTAGGTATATCTATGTACTGGATGGGTCTTAGCGGAGTCGAGGATCGAACTTCGGCCCTTCCTGACCGGAGTTCGATTCTCTAACCGCTGGGCTAGAACGGTCTAGGACAATTCTTCTTCCCTAAAGTTATATCGAAAGGTGAAATTTAAGTATTCCTTCCAACATTTGAGGTTTTTAAAAATACTTTTTTCAGTAATAATGATAGTGAGCTAAAAGTGGAATTACTGAAAAGAAATAGAATTTTAAATCTGTTATCAAAATTAATAACAAATTACTTGACAGACATTTTAAAAATAGACATCAAATGCCACCAAAGTTGAAAGTTTAAACTTTTCGTGTCTTAATATTTCGTTACCACATTATGTCATGATTATAAGTTGATATTTTAAAATTGCCTCATACGTGATTACGAATTTTCTACCCTTTGAGAAAACATTTCTTCTCGTCATTTATGTGTAATGCGAGATTTTTCGATTAGTAAATTTTATTTCAAGTTCNAAAGAACTCTCTTTTTCAACTACACAAAAAAGAACATCACTTCTCGTGTGTGTCTCTCAAGCAACAACATTTTAGCATTACCTCTCGAGGAATTGATGCTTTTAGCTCAGTTGCGAGAAATTGATGCTTTCAGCTCAGTTGTCACACTGTTACGTTACAGCGCCTTTCGTTTGACAAGAGAACACCGCAAGGGTGAACATACGTCTAGGCTCAGAATCCTACGGATGGATGATAGCACTACTCATTCGAGAAGCTATTTTCTCAATCTATACATATAACTGAAGGGAAGGAATTTTTTTCCTGAGCTCTGTATCCATGGTACAGCTTAGCGACCTCCTACAGTACTTTCAATTACACAGATTTTACGAGTAGGTATATCTACGTACTCGATGGGTCTTAGCGGAGTCGAGGATCGAACTTCGGCCCTTCCTGACCGGAGTTCAATTCTCTAACCGCTGAGCTAGAACAGTCTAGGAAAATTCTTCTTCCCTAAAGTTATATAGAAAGGTGAAATTTAAGAATTCCTTCCAACATTTGAGGTTTTTAAAAATACTTTTTTCAGTAACAATGATAGTGAGCTAAAAGTGGAATTATTGAAAAGAAATAGAATTTTAAATCTGTTTTCAAAATTAATAACAAATTACTTGACGGACATTTTAAAAATAGACATCAAATGCCACCAAAGTTGAAAGTTTAAACTTTTCGTGTCTTAATATTTCGTTACCACATTATGTCATGATAAGTTGATATTTTAAATTTGCCTCATACGTGATTACGAATTTTCTACCCTTTGAGAAAAATATTTCTTCTCGTCATTTATGTTTAATGCGAGATTTTTCGATTAGTAAATTTTATTTCAAGTTCTTTTTCCACACCACTATAGTATGTGAATGATTCCAAATTTCGTATCGAAAACTACTTTGTTTTAACTTCTTTGCTGTGCAGATTTCAAATTAGTGGTGAAATTAATCAAAATTTTGAAAGCTTTAGTAATTGATTGTATACCATTCTATAAAATCTTTTGGCAAAAAGCTTACTAGTTGGTAACCCTACATTATATGTTTTGAATAAACTAGTGCTTACATTTGCATAAATAGTATTTTAAAGTGCTCTTGGTACAACAAAAGCTTAACCCTTTCGTGCCGACTGTCACAAATACGTGCCAGCATAAAACCGTATCAATCAGGGTAAAAAGAGAAAATATGTAATCAAAGTATTTCTTTAGCAGTTTATTAGTGGGCGGAGTTATAATTGTTTGATTTATTTAATTCACCATTACTTTGTTCAAAATAAAAATATTTAGTTATGCTTTGAATTAACATTGATTATATACCAGCGGGTGACCGAGCTCCGCTCGGAGAAAACATGTATCGAAGCTAACTCGAAGACTTAAATTTTCAATTGTGATTTATCAAAACAATACATGCCATAAGAAAATTTGTGAAACCATTGGTGAAAAGATAACCGGTTAAAGTGCACCATTGTAAACTATCTAAACAAAGTTAGAGTTTGGAAAGGGAACTATTCTATACAAACGTAAAGTTTGAAAAGTCATAGGAAATAAAATGTAATTGATAACAAAAAATTATACAATTAAAGAAATGGTACAAAGTGAGCAGTGTAAAGATTGAAGTGTGTTAAAGTTCAATATTTTTGACAAACTTATTTAGAAAAACCAAACATATATACATACATAAGAAACATATTATAAACCTATAACAGCATAAACATAATAAACATTAATCATCGATTGCGAAGTCTTCCATGTTGTCCAGGTAGTTTCTTGTCGGAGAGGCAGGTGCGGCTGGTGAGTTTCTCTTGTTCAGGACTTCCTTCCATACGACGTTTCGGGTGTGGGTTGGATTCTCAGGAGGCAGCAGGACCTTCAACGCACTTTGACGCTTGACTCTTGAAAACGCGACGTAGAGCATTCCGTGCACGAAGACCGTCGTGAGGAGAAGCACGCCGACGAATTCGAATGTTTGGCCTTGTGACTTGTGTATCGTAATGGCGAATGCTGGAGTAACTGGGAATTGGTGCCGTTGCATAGTTGCGCCAAGCTGTGATTTGCTGGAGTCGAGCGTGATCCTTGGAAGGTGTACTTGTCGGCCTGCGTGTTCACCGGTGATGATCTTAGCCTTGATGATGTTGTTGCAAAGTTCGGTGACAATCAATCGTGTTCCGTTGCACANATATATATATATATATACAGTACCGGTCAAAAGTTTAGACTCACTCTTGAATTTTTAAAAATAGACAAATAACAAGGTTTTTAAACTGAAAATTAGATCAAATTAATTTTATTTTGTCAAATAAAGGTAGCTTTTACGGTAAGAACTATAATTTTATGCATAACTTATGAATTTCGTCCAATCTTGGATTCTTCGAAATATCCTCCTTTAACCTTTATCACCTTTGGCACTCTTTCTATTAGTTTTTGTAATGTTCTAACTGAGATCTAGATCCAGCAACTAAGTAAAGATTCCCAAAGCTTGTTTTGATTGGCACGTCTCATTTTTCTAACATTTCTAACGAGTTCATCCCACAATAGCTCAAAAGGATTAATATAAGGGGATTGAGGGGGGCCAATCCATGCATTTCAGTACTTTTTTCTTCTCTTTTGATGCAATGTAGTTTCTACACAATTTCGATGAATGTTTTGTATCGTTATCTTACTGAAAAAAAAAAATCCTTGACCAATCTCTGTCCACATGGAAAAGCGTAACGCTGCAATATTCTGCGATAATATTTTTTTTTATCCATAATACTCTCTATTCTTAGAAGATGTCCTACTTTGTCACCGGCAAAACATCCCCAAAATCATGACTGATCCTCCACCATGCTTTACAGTTGGTAGTAAACATTGACTTGTCATACGTTCACCAACTAAACGACGAACATACTGCCTTCGTTTGCTTCCAAACAATTCAAATTTTGATTCGTCCGTAAACAAAACCTTTGACCACTGTTCTAAAGACCAAGTAACATGTTCTTTAGCCCATTGCAGTCGTTCTACTTTAGTTTGTTTCTTCAAAAGATGTTTTCTAGCAGCTACACAACCTTTTAAACCATAGTCAGGAAGTCGATGTTGTACAGGAGATACTGGCACAATTTTCTGCAGAGTAGCATTCAATTCCCCACGGATTTCTGGTGCTGTTCGAGTCCGCTGCTGCTTACTTTGAATGCAGATAAACTTATTCTCACTTTTGGATGTTATTCTAGGTCTCCCTGATCGCTGACGCCTCTTATTTTGGCCAGTTTATTTCTTCCTTTCCAAAGTTCTGACATCAGTGGTCTGAGAAACATTATTTTTAGAGGCAATTTGTCTACTTGAATAGCCTTCTGAATGAAGTGAGTGCAATAATAACTGCACGTGCTTCCACACTTATTTCTCATTTTTGACCCATATTTCTGTAATAAAGTGTATAAAGAAATGTTAACTTTTGTTTTTAATATATACCAGTTATTATGGCTAATTAAGGCTATTATATTAATATTTAAAATTTGTCATGTAGATGAACATAACTTATAATTAAACCCCATGAAAAAAGATCAAAAGCAAATTGTTTATAAACTAAGCATTAATTAATATATATATCCTATTAATTGGGCAGAGAGGTTGCCAAGTGCGGGCAAAATTAGCATATTAAGTTCAACTTAAGCCGACCGGACTGTGTAGCGGTCAGGGAGCTGGCTGGACATCGGAAGAAAAGTCCTGGGCTTGAATCCCAGACAAGGCATGGATGTTCTTTCATTCTCCGTTTCTACTATGGGAGCAACATTGGCCCACCTAATATGGTGCGCTTTAAAGAGTGGCCAACAAATCGGCTCTATTGATACATGTATGATGAGTGTTGATCGAGTGGGCAGTAAAAAGAAAATAAAAGCTTAACTTAAATTGTTATTTGGCTACTGCTTTTTGGAAGCTAGGGAATGTAATTTTTTTCTTGGAAGCTAGGACTTCTGGGTGGGATGACAATGGTGACGAATGTGAGATGCGAATCTCGATCATTTAACATATTTGCAACAACCATTATGCATTATTTTGTAAGGAAAATTTACCTCTTCTCAAACTTATCCCTTAAACGTTAAAATGGTATCTTGAAAAAGCAAATTCTTGCTGGCAACGTCGATTTACTTCCATTACTGATTTTTTCTAGGAACTATGGAACACTGAACATGTTCACATTAGCCTCGCATATTCATTAGTTCTTTTAAACTCATTATTCATTAATTAAGGAAAGATATATCGAAAGTAATATGTTAAATATAAATAAAATAATAATGGTCTATAAATGAAAAAAATAGTCTATAGTTGCAATAAAGCAAAAAATTAAGCAGATACTTTTTTACCATAAAAACTATCTTATTATATAAAACGCTAATACGTACGTATGTATGTATGTATCAATAAAACCGATGATATTTCTTTTCTCGCGCTGGCAACAGTTTTCATTTTTAATTGATTGGATTCGGCGCGCAAGAGCACGTAGTGAGCAACCAGATAACAATAACCAGAGTGAGCATTATCAGGTTGTTCAATTCAGATTCATGCACTAAAAACATGACAATATTTAATTTAAACTCAATTAGGAATTAATTAATTAATTGAAGTGAGAATGCTTTAAAAGGCCGCTGTTGAATTGATATTTTTCTACTGGGAGCTACCTAAACGTCTAAAAAACGTTTAAGTGTTTGTATTGAATGCATTGAATTTTTTTATATTTCGCGTTTATTTATGCATTGAATTTTCACGCTTTAAAATGCAGAATATTAGTGAAGCAATATTTGATAATTTATTTTGCTAATATGTTTCTTATTTAGCTAATGTTTTGATTTTTTCACCATGTACAATCTAAATAGCTAATATACTTTTTTAAAAGCCAATAAGAACATTGGTAGAATTCTTCTACATAAGTACAATACTATGTCTTTGATGATAAAATACTATGTCTTTGATGATAATATATTATGTCTTTGTGCTAGAACATTGTGTTCATTGGCGAGCGAGCGCAGCGAGCCATGGTTCACGGCGTGAGCCACATAGGATTGCGTAGCAATTCTCGGGGGTTGGCGAGCGTTAGCGAGAAGGGGCGGAGCCTCCTAGTTTTCATTAATTTACTACACAACAATTTATAGTCTTGTCTTGCTATTATGTATGAAAGTTAAGCACAGTTCTGCCAATTTACCAAATTATACGAGGAATTTTCTAGTGTTAACAGAAATATTGTATTATTTGAATTTCATTTGTAAACACTAGCCGCCCCTTATTCGCTACATAGCACAAAGAGGCATGGCAGAAAATTAAAAAAAAAATTAATTCTTTGTTAAACATTTTTTAAAAGAACAGTAAGGTAATAAAGTTGCGTAAAACATTATAAGTGCAACTAATACATATTGATATACGTTTTTATTTCTAGTTTGCGTAACTACCGGATTTTAAATGCGGTGGGATACGACACATATGAGCAAATTACATTAAATCGTAACAAAATTCTCTTTTTTTTATTTTAAGACATAAAATCTCAATATATAAGAAATTGTTCATTTTATATTTCTGCAATATATTAGAAGTAAAATAATAACTTGTACCTACACCTGTTGCTTCATGGAGTATTTTATTCTTAAACAAATAGTTTTTATACTCAATATTCCATAAAAACATGATCAAAAATAAATTATAAGCGTAAGATTATTATACTGCTTTATACGAGTATCTTACTAAAAATAAAGCGGACAAATTAATTCGAGTAATAAAATGATAAATTTTTTCAATTAATATTTTTTATAATGCAATCGGTAAGATAAATAGCATAAAAATAATTTCATGTGATAGTATGTTCATAAGTGGATATGCAAACAAAGTTTTTTATTTACCGATTAGTTTTTTCTTAATATAAATACGGTATAATCATGGCACAGTTAGATAGGTTCATACAATTGCCTGAGTTTCGAAATGTTTCCTAAACTCTTCACTCTCCTCTTCGTAGTTTTGGCTCTTATGGCTACTGGTAAGTTTACGTCTTTTAAGTATTTTAAGTAAGTTAAATACGTATATGGTTGTCTAACTTCGAAACTAGAATTAATGTGCTAATGCGAGCATGTAAAGAACATTTTTACTAATGATCGGATTCTTTAATGCTATAATCGGATTTTTTCAAGCTATGATCGGAATTTTTCATACTATATCGGATTTTTTCATAATATTATAGAATTTTTTTCATGTAAAGTTCGGAATTTATCATGCTATATCGGATTTTTGATGCTATAATCGGAATTCTTATTGCTATGATCGTTTTCTTTCATGCTATCGTCGGGTATTTTCACGCTATGATCGGAATTTTTCATGCTAAGGTCGGATTTTTTTATGTTATGATCGGAGTTCTACATACTATTAATTTCATGAACCATTGACGACATGTAATAAGAACATGTAAATTAATTTTAAATTGATTTCGGCAAGCAATGCTAATTTTATGAATGCAACGACGCCAATTGTTTCGGATTCTGCAAAATATTCTAAAAAACGGAAGTAAAAATAAATTTAAATTCGAAAATTTTTGGTTAACTTAGCAAATTTTTAAAAGGCATAACACGAAATGTCTGTAGGAAATCGGGCTTTCATATATGCCTTTGAATTATTTAGAAGCTTTTGGTTGTAAGAACCCTGTAAATCGAATTGACAGGGTTCTTACAACCAAACTTCGCAAGAAACATAAAACATAAATGCTGCTACCACTAGAAAATATTAATCAGCTATCTGGTGCCAGTTGAGATCTATGAAAATGTGTCGATGTATAGTGCACAAAAAAAAAACACCTTAAAAAAATCCCACGTTAAAACAGATTTTAGAAACCAATGCTAATTTCGTAAATGTCTTGACAGTGCATAAAATAATAATAAGAAGAAAAAACGAAATATTTTAACAACTTTCTAATGATCAGATTTTTTGATGGTTTCCGAACGTACGCACAAATGGTCGAGGTGAGGGCCGGGATAGCCTGGTCGGTAGGGCGCTGGGCCCATATCCAAGAGGTCGTGGGTTCGATCCTCGCCGGCCGAAGACTCCCCGTGTAGTAAATGGTGACTGATGCACGTTAAATCTGTCGAGTCTCAAAGTCCTCCATGTTCCCACAACAAATCAATACCTCTGGGGGTACTGATCCAGGAGTTTCCTTGTCTTCTGGATTGGTTCAAAATTACAAGGCTACGGAGTTGAACGTAAGTAGTCGTAAACCCATGAAATTGGGTGTGATGAATCCCTTTGGTTGGATGATTTGGTGGGATCCCTTTGGTGGGAATTGGGTGGGATGAATCCCTTTAAAGTGCGTATAAAAGCTGGATTCGTTACTAATTTGACACATTTTTTACAGCGTAAGAATCGTCTTTGGTTCTTGGTGTAGTTAGACAAAAAGAACCGAAAATTATCGGTGATGTTTCACTGCGCCAGTTTGATGCAAAGCAGTGGCCACCGTTTTTGATGTAAAGATATACTCAAATTTTTTACAGTGCATGCTTAACGTTATTTTTCGAAGCTCTATCGCCAAGCAAAATAAAAAAGTCTCAGTTTAAGTGCCTTGAAGCAATGCGATGATTTTAAACTATATGTATCTTCTTGCCGTTAGGTATTATCTGGTCTTCAGAATGGAACTGTAACTTATGTATTTAAAAAGTAATTAAATTTTTTAAAAAATTGCCAATTTGGAGACATTTTTCCACCTAGACGAAGATTATCAAAAACACCGTCTTATTCTCAGTTTTGACAATTTTTTTTGAGCCCAGGTAATGCAGCATTGGAGTAAGTTTTTAAATATTAAAAAATTAGACCACAAATTCTTTAAGTTTTCACAAAACTGTGGGTGTTCTTCATAGTAGCGCTTTGCGCCATTTTCAAAATAAACATAGAGGGCGCTGGCTAAAGATAGGTTAAACGTGACCTGACGGTCGTGAGTAACTGCTGCAAACTCACAGCAGTTGTGAAAATAACATATTATTCTAAAAAAAACATCGTTTTATTTAATAATGGAGTCCTCTTAAAACAGCTCTAAGATGTTTTACAATTTGGAAAAAGGGAATGAGGTTTCACGATATTGAGAACGGGGGATAGATAATTAAATGAGTCGCTCAGAAGCCAATGCGGTTAAGTCCAAAACACAAAAATTGAGAGAATTAATGTTTTTTGATACATTAGTTTTTAAAATTCTTGGTTTATTAATTTAATTAAAAACGTGTATAAAGTCTTTTTTCGAGGTGTAAACTCTGCAAAAAAAACAAGATATGTACAGGATGTGTAAATAAAAACGTAAGTATTTATTGAAATAATGACAGCATCTTAAAAATTTTAGGACTTATACCTTTTGGCAGCTGAAAAAGATAACAAATTTATGTAAAAATAAACTGTTGGATTATTTAAAAAATTGTTTTTTACTTCAAAATTAGAGTGGAACTTTTCTTTGTTTTAGGAAATGAAAATAAAATAAATAAAAAAAAAACTAAAAATACCACATTTTAAAAAAATACTAATGTTGGTGAACATTGGTTAAATGATTTTAACGATGTTATGTTTAGTTTTTTCTCTTTTAGCACATTTTTTCAGCATTATTTTTATATAATTCTCAACAAAAAAATCATTTGCATTTCTAATTACTGAAACTTTCCGAACATATGTTCGAATAAATTTAAAAGCTTCGAATAAACCTTTTTACTTATAATTTTTTCTCACTAGCCATGGCTGGAGTCCACAAAGTACGATATGACCAAGAACCTCAAGAGAAACGAATGGGAATTTTGGGTGGTAAGTGAAGTGTTTGAGCAACTTAATAGTGATCAGATGAAAATGAAATTTTTTTATTTAAAATGAAATTAAGTATTTTAAATTTAATTTGCATTTAATCTTAAGATGGAATTTAGTACATTAAGAGATCTGATATAAATCTTTCACAGCCTGATTGTCTTTGAATATTTTATATGAAAGATTCAACCCTTTCCGGCAGTGTTGCCAGTCTGCCAACACTAATTTAGCAAATGCTACAAACAACTAGAAATGCAATTAGAAAATTGCTGTACTAGAATTACTAGAAATTTGTTGGCTGCAGATGAGGATGAGATTCATGCGTTTTTCTCGAGAAAATAATATAGGTAAAAGTAAAGAAGCAATTTGCTCAAACCTTTAGTTTTTTGTTTGCAGACCAGAGTATCAACATGAGGAAACGCTGTGAATTCTTTCTGCAGGATGAATAGTCGCAGCAGTTGAATTTTTTTTCTCTGTAGAATTAGAATTGAAATTTGAATTAAGATTTTTATCAATCGATTAAAATCTTAATCGGTTGATGAAATTATTTATTTATTTTGATAGTTATAATATGAGGCGACGGAAGTGCAAAGTGTTGCTATTGATCTCTTCTGTAGTCTTCTAAGTTGTACAGAGATGCCAGCTGCTCCGGACACGCAAAATAATTAAAAAAAAACGGTAAATAACAACTAAGTAAATTTTGCAAATATTTGACTATCAAGCTTGCTTTTTAAAATTTATAGCATGACCTATGTAATAGAAAGCATACCTGCCAACTCTTCCGGAAGATTTTAGTTTCATATTTAAAGTGGTAGCAATACTCAGGTTATTCCAATTAACTTTTTGAATTATAATGATAATTATAAATGAGTTTGACCACCACTACATATAAATAATTACAATAAATATATGAAAGCACAATAATCCTTGCGCAAGCGAATTTCAACGGGATTAAAATACAAATTTGTTTTTGAGTCAGATTGTTTTTCGTTTATTGTCTTACAACCACTCTAAAAATCCATTCTCTGAAAGAGTGAGAGTTGGCAGGTATGAGAAAGTGATGAATTATATAAGCCCACGAATTATTTAGAAATAGTGGTGGATAAAAATCTACTATATTGAATTTATTAAACCAAGAATCACTGCTGATGAACTACCACTTTAAAATATATATTTGCTGTCCGGAGCAAGTTGGCATCTCTGAATATTTTATTCTTGAATAAATAAGTGGACTTGAATAATAAGGACAAAATAGGCCTTTCATATTCTTTTTTTTTTTTAATTTCCATCTATTTTATTTTCCAGTGAAAAGAAATAATTGTTTTAACTGGAAACAACCCTATATCGTAATTTTATTAATATAATATCATACCTGCCAACCTTTACGCATTTGGCGTAAAATTTTATTTTCATATTTAAAGTGGTAGTAAATATATACTATATTTTCTATTAAAAACTTAATTTTTAAATTATTTTGATCACCACTATTCTTAAAAAAACTAAGCATATATATTAATAAGCTTCACAACCCATGCCAATAGTCACAACTACTATCATTATGACCAGATGAAGAAGTGAGATGCCCGCTCCGCGGGCAGGTACTTCGCTCCAATTCCTATCAAGTCAAGTCAAGTCATGGCTGTCAGCTGATGTTTTATCAAATACAACATATTTTATTTGCTTACAATTGAAATTTTAATTCCATTTTACTACCACTTGGAAAAATCATAATGGAAGGGATTAGAAGTTGGCAGGTATGTAATATTCGTATATTTTTGGCTGTTTTCATTATTTACCTGATGGGCTTTTGCTGCTCTTTTTTTTCAGTGATTACAGATTTTTTAATGCACAATAATTTCCTTTTTTTTTAGGTATCAAGGAAATGGCTGATGATGTACTCAGTACTGCTGGAGTTCACAACCAATAATTTGATTGCTAATTGTTGAAATTTAAGCCGTAAAAATGGGCTTTACAAAAAAAAAGAAAAAAAAAGAAATTAACAACGTAATGTAATCAAAAAAGCTTAAAATTAAAACTAATTCAAGCCCTTTTGTTTAATGTTTGTCCAGCTTGCATTATACTTACCACTCATTATATAAACCATTATTTTGGATAATATTGTGAAATTAAATAAAGTATATTTATTTGTAAAGATTGTATTATGTTTATTTAGAAATTCGCTATTATATAAAATTGTAGGAGAATCATAAAATATTTCAAGTGTAATCTGCCTACTTTAATTGAAAAACAAATTCAATGATAAAACACCAAACACCGAATGATCATCATGAGCTGCAGCTACATCGTATTTCAGATTTTCAGGACATATTCAAGGACAACAATTTTTTTCACTGTTATTGTTGCGAAAAAAAAAAGAAATTTCCTTTTTCATCTTTAGAGACTAAATGATTAGTTCTAATTAAAAAAAATACTTGGCTATATTTTTTATAGTTTTTACCATGTATTCCGCTTTGAGAGCAAATTTTTTTTCAGTGTCAGCAAAATTTATAATTTAACCTTTTGCATTCCAAGCTGTTTGAAGTAATGTCTACACCAAATAGTTTAAACAGCAACCTGGAATATTTTAAAATAATTTCTGTGACATGCACTAATACATGTTAAATCGTTAAAAAAAACTGTCGCAGCGTTGCTTTGGGTGTTTAAATTAAAGTTACATTTCGTTTTGCTGCACAAACACTATAAGAAGATTATGTGTAAAAAGGTTTTCAAAGGTTACGATGAACTTGAAGAGATTAACATTCTGTAATAATTAATGTGAGAATAATTAACTATTAAACTTGTTTAAAAAACCCATACAGAACGCACTTCAGGCAGTAGGAATACAACTGCAGAGGAAATAATTGTTTATGAACTTAACACAAAACTTTCTATTCAAAATTTGAATTTGTTTGAAAGTAATTTAAATTTTAAGCTCCTTTTGCATTTTTTCACCCTTTTTTTTCTTCTTTTTGCTATATTTTACAATTTCCTTTGTTACTCAAATTCCATAAGAATTAGAAACTTTAAATCACGAAGGTGCGTCGTGAGAATAAAAAAAAAAATCAATTTTAGTTATCTGATACTGCGTATTTATTTTGCTCATGGTTTTTAAAACGCGCTTCGATAAAATTTATCTTAAATAATTTAAAAACAAAAGAAATTGAAATGAAAAAAAAAATAACTATGTATTCAAAGGTAAAATAAATGAAAAAGTGGCAATAATTCATATAGGAGATAAATAAAAAACCGCCACATTATTATTGACGCCAATGACGCTTAATTGATTTAATGTAATGTATGCATATGGAAATAAAAGAAATAAGCTATGTACAAGAAAACATAAGCAATGGAGTACAGATATTTATTTGTCTATAAGAAACGCAATAAATCGTCTTGGTATCACTGTTCTAAATTGTATATTGTATCTTATATACTAAAAAGAAAAAAAAAATAATGCAGAAAAGATGCTTTTTCATTTTTGGGAGCGATATTATTATTCACACTAATGCTTTAATAAAATTTATAAAGTGTATTAAACTGCTGTTTGTAGAAAATGCAACACCATGAAGGAATCATCAGAATCAAATGAAATATTATTTTAATAATGGATATAGGA